TCATCCATTCTAAAACTCGCACCATGCCTAGCCGTTGTACGAATTGTCGCAACCTCTCATTGTTGTCTAGTCTTGCATGGAGAGGAAACTGTATCCGTTACATCATCCGTGTCATGGAAGGAAGATTGCTAAGATTGGCTATTAGAACTCGTACGAGCCCTGACCTCGTCTCGCCTCTAAGACCCATCTCCTCTATTCTTTTTATCACTGTGTGATGAAACAACCTGCTGAGAAGAGAGAGGTCTCCCCGATGACCCAATTAGTTTGCCCCATATGTTTATTTATCCTTCAAGTCGTGCAAAGGCATATGTAAATTGGGTATAGACATCAGAATTAAGTTTGCCATGTGATTCCTCATATTTCTTCACACTTTCTTTTGTAGCATGACCAATTAATGCGACCGCAGGCAAAACAGTACTCAGGTAAATATTCATAACGAAACTCTATCATCTTCTCGCCTACCTCCGGGAAGGTAACTGGAGTCCTCCTCATCAAAGGTAGCTGCACATCGTATATGAATAAAACTTCTAATGGAGTCATCCTTATCTCTATTATCCACACATAATACCTCACCAACCGGCGACCCGATGGCTTTAGCAACAACAATAGTCATACAGAAACCCGAAACCCCATGCACCTGGACCCAAAAGGTCCCTTGGGTTAAGCTTATTGTGTGTATATATCCATTACCAGGCACATCATCTAGTAGCATCAAAAAAAGGCCGATACGTCCAAGGCGCCATTTCAAGAACCCGTTTTTGATCCCGTTCACAGACAAAGCATACCCAAAAACGATTAGTCGCAATCTCCTTAATCGAAACCTCATCAGAGCCCCTTCATAAACTAGTAAAGTGTCTCGATGAACCTCCTAACTCAAGAGGAATTTAGCCACCAGACTATACAGAAAGCCAACAAAACGGTCAAGGAGGTAACTGCAACTTTCGGCAAAACTACCATTACTCTGTTCAGATTACTATTCACACTGTACGTATTCTAAATTAAGCATCGGAGAGCCTTCGGCTGGTACCACACATGTGCCAAAGGACTTATCGAGCGTTTCTTTGTCTTGCAAATCGATCGCTCTACCGAAGCTCATAAGTGGCCGAAGAAGACAACATCACTAAGTTGGGCCCAAAAATGTTGAACTATTTTTGAGCATCAACAAAATCTATTTTTATTTCCAACATTCCTCATTTAGAAATTGTACCTTTTTATATATGTGTTTGTATATATATAGGTGGCAAGCATTTTTTAATATTTGTCATCGTTGTATGGGTTGGTTTTCTTATTGGTGTCATCATTATTCTGGTTATGCTAGCTCTTTGTTAAATGAATTTGCCAATTGATGTTGATTATCATACATTTAATTTAAGAATAACTGGATGGAACGCATTAGTAAGTTGCCACGTGAAATTCTTGTTAGTATATTGTCTCTCTTGCCGTTAAAGAAAGTAGTGGCTACTACTAGTGTTCCTTCAAGGCATTAGTTGTATGTGTGGGCGTCTACTTTGACACTTGATTTTGATCCCGATAAAACTTTGTTTGGCGTCAAAGACCTTAGTCGAATGTTACAAGATAAGAAAAAGTACGTCAATTGGGTCTATAATGTGGTCGAACAACATACTAGCCCAACATCGCTATGGATTGCATTTGCATTTGAAAAATTACAAAAATCAAAAGGGATTGGTTTCATTAGGTTTTGTCCTCGCAACAATAATCTTAAAAAATAACAAAAATTAAAATTGATATGAACACATAAAGAGAGATAATACAAAACGGGATCGGTTTCATTACAACTTTCAAGTTTAAATGAGGCTAGAGAGACGATAGAACTTTCCTTTTTCCAGTCCATGACAAAATATACATTTAATTTTCTGGTGTCACCCAAACCTAAATTGTAAAAATCAAAATATACATGTGATGAAAAACAGCCATGCATATTTGCGGACACCAACTCTTTATAAAACCTTGTCTTCGATTTCCACACTTCACCAACCCATGCATGTTGTTAGGCATGAAGGTGTGCAAAGCAAACCAACCAGTGGCGTTCACCAAATACACAAATGCAGGACACATTTTCTCATGAATTCACAATATTTGAAGCCAATAGAAAGCCGACAGCTATTAGAGATTATGGCTAGACTTATTTGAACAAAAGCCAAACCCAGGCGGCCAAATTACTACCATCAGTCTCCAATCACACTTGAGCCCTCAACAAGATGTGCCTTTGTTTTTTTTTGTTACAAGATACGTACGTGACCCCCTAGGTTTTGCACCTAAGCCTCAAACATCCACGTCGGTGTGGACTTTGCTGGCCATTCTATACCAATTATGCATTCATTAGTCAAGATTTTCTTCTCATTTAAGCTTAATTATTAACACCCCCAGGGTTGATAATTGAAAAAAATAAGTCTTCAAGATTTGACACGTATTTTTTAGCGATTTTACAAAAATGCTACTTTTACCACATTCTCATACTACTTATGTGGCAGATGAGGTGTATAACCACATCAATTAAAACGTGTCAATAAATCATAAAAGAAAAGAAAATGTTAAATTAGTTTTAATTGATGTGGTTGTATACCTCATCTGTCACATAAGGTAGTATGGGAATGTAGTAAGAGTAGTATTACTCTTTACAAATTTACATAGCAGTAATTTTGTATGGTTACGCGTGAACGAGTTATACCACATGACATTATTCTAGTACTATGCAATAATTTCTTTTACTAGCCTCTTGGCACATGCTCATGCATGTGCCAATTGGTTTTATTTTTTATTTTTTATTTTATTTTTAAAATTAAGAAAAGATAACATGGGTAGTTATGTTCCATAAAAGTAGGACCTATTATCTGATTTTGTTTTTGTTTTTATTTTTTAATATGAAAAAAGTGAATTTACCATAATATTATCCTCAATGTTTGAATTAATTAAGGGCATTTTCTGGTATTTTGAATATTTCACCGTTCTCTGCATTTTGCTTTATATATATAGATAGATGATAGATTGTGAAAAATGGTTTTTCCATAGATCAGAAGTAGTTTGTCTCGTTTTAGTAAAAGATAACATGGCAAATATTACTGAGGAACACAATTATATTTTTCTTTTCTAAAATACACGTTTATGCAAGTTGCCTTTGTAGAAGAGCATTCATTTGATAAGCCTTGTTTTGCATTTAATTCGCGATAGGAAAATGAGTTTTCATAGACTAAAGATAACAATTTTAAATCTTGGTTATATGTTTATTTTAAATCTTGTCTCATCCCGGATACTAGTAGATTACTCTTCAGATAACATATGTTCAGCAAGTATTCCCAAAGCCGCAGAAAGTAGCCTTTCATCTCCATTATCTAACGCACCGTGACCAACCTGTTAAGATTTTATCTAGTTACAGTAGTTGTTTTTAAATAAACTGATTATCCTATTATGTACGAAGTCATGTTGCACGTTGTTATGTTTACCAAGTTTTTAGGAGTCTCCCAGTAGTGGAGCAGTTTGTTAGTGGTGTCAGTAATAGATTAAGTTAGTAGGAGTCAGGTCCTTGAATTTAGCATAGTCTGGTGATGTAACGTTCTATTTAAGTTCAACTTTATCAGTATACAAATTACGCTTTCCAGCATCTCTTCTCACCTGTGTTTGGATTTTGAGTTTAACTCTACATCTGGTATCAGAGATCCCCACTGGGGCCTAACATAAAAGTTCCCACAAAAGTAGTAAGCTATAATTGCACTTACTGCAGTAAGTTACTATGGCTATAATTGCACTTACGGCAGTAAGTTACTATGGCGTCTGACAAGGTTACAGACAACTATGTGCAGCCAGCCATACCACGCTTTGATGGTCATTATGATCATTGGAGCATGTTGATGGAGAATTTCCTGAGGTCTAAAGAATATTGGACTGTCGTGGAAACCGGTATTGTAGAGCCGGAAAGTGGAGTGGTGTTGACGGAGCTACAACAAAAGAAATTGGATGAATCCAAGCTGAAAGATTTGAAGGCGAAAAATTACTTATTCCAAGCTATTGATCGTTCCATTTTGGAGACCATTCTCCAAAAAGATACTTCCAAGCAAATTTGGGATTCCATGAAGAAGAAGTATCAGGGCTCAACGAAGGTGAAGCGTTCAATGCTGCAAGCACTAAGGAAAGATTTTGAGACTCTTCATATGAAACAAGGAGAGTCTGTCAATGATTATTTTTCAAAAGCAATGGCAATTGCAAACAAGATGAGTATCCATGGCGAGAAGATGGAAGACGTAACCATCATAGAAAAGATCCTGTGATCTATTACTACAAAGTTTGATTACGTTGTGTGCTCCATTGAGGAGTCAAATGACATTGAGAAGCTTTCAATTGATGAGCTACAGAGTTCCTTGCTTGTAAATGAGCAGAAGATCAATCGGAGTACATCTGAGGAACATGCGTTGAAAGTTTTTCAACACATAGTGACCTCTGTACGAATTGTCGCAACCTCTCACTATTGTCTAGTCTTGCATGGAGAGGAAACCGTATCCATTACATCATCTGTGTCATGGAAGGAAGATTGCCAAGATTGGCTATTAGAACTCGTACAAGCCCTGACCCTGTCTCGCCTCCAAGATCCATCTCCTGTATTCCTTTTATCACTGTGTGATGAAACAACCTGCTGAGAAGAGAGACGTCTCGTCAATGACCCAATTAGTTTGCCCCATATGCTTATTTCTCCTTTAAGCCGTGCAAAGGCATATGTAAATTGGGTATAGGCATCAGAATTAAGTTTGCCATGTGAATCCTCATATTTCTTCACATTTTCTTTTGTAGCATGACAAATTAATGCGATAGCAGGCAAAACAGTACTCAGGAAAATATTCATAACGAAACTCTTAACATCTTCTCGCCTACCTCCGGGAAGGTAACTAGAGTCCTCCTCATCAAAGGTAGCCACAAATCGTATATGAATAAAACTTCCAATGGAGTCATCCCCATCTCTATTATCCACTCATAATACCTCACCAGGCACATCATCTAGTAGCATCCAAAAAACGCCAATACGTCCAAGGCGCCATTTCAAGAACCCGTTTTTGGTCGCGTTCATAGACAAACTGTACCCAAAAACTATTAGTCACAATTTCCTCAATCGAAACCTCATTAGAGCCCCTTCATAAACTAGTAAAGTGTCTCAATGAACCTCTTGACTTGAGAGGACTTTAGCCACCAGACTATACAGAAAGCCAACAAAACGGTCAAGGAGGTAACTGCGACATTCAGCAAAGCTGCCATTACTCTGTCCAGATTACTATTCACACCATACTTATTATAAATTAAGCATCGGAGAGCCTTCGGCCGGCACCACACATGTGTCAAAGGACTTACCTAGCGTTTCTTTGTCTTGTAGATAGATCGCTCTACCGAACTTTAGAAGAGGCAGAAGGAGACAACATCACTAATTTGGGCCCAAAAATGTTGAACCATTTTTAAGGTATCAACAAAATCTATTATTTTCCACATTCCTCGTTTAGAAATTGTACTTTTTTATATATGTGTTTGAATATATATAGGTGGTAGGCATTTTTTAATATTTTATATATATATATATATATATATATATATATATATATATATATATATATATATAGGTGGTAGGCATTTTTTAATATTTGTCATCGTCGTATGGGTTGGTTTTCTTATTAGTTTCATCATTATTCTAGTTATGCTAGCTCTTCGTTAAATGAATTTGCCAATTTATTTTGATTATCATACATTTAATTTAAGAATAACTGGGTGGAACGCATCAATAAGTTGCCAAGTGAAATTCTTGTTAGTATATTGTCTCTCTTGCCATTAAAGAAAGCAGTGGCTACTACTAGTGTTCTTTCAAGGCATTAGTTGTATGTGTGGGCATCTACTTTGACACTTGATTTTGATCCTGAGAAAACCTTAGTCGAATGTTACAAGATAAGAAAGGCCGTAAGTACGTCAATTGGGTCTATAATGTGGTCGAACAACATAGAAGCCCAACATTGCTATGGATTGAATTTGCATTTAAAAAATAACAAAAATCAAAGGGGATCGATTTCATTAGGTTTTGTCCTCTCAACAATAATCTTAAAAAATAACAATTCACACGACATCAGATTAGATAAAAAGTTTCATACTATGAAGTTTCGTAACCTACATATGAAATCAAATGCAAAGAATGTGAGTGAAGAATTAATTTCCCCACTGATTACAAGCATACAAATTCTACTGTTGAAGGAACCCTATTTTTAAGGTGCATATTAGCATGACGTCTTGCCTTTGCTTCCTTCTTCCTTTCTCTCTTTCCCGATTCTGATCCGCTATGATGACAATCCCACGACCAATAAGGAACAATAACAAGTTTTTCGAGAGCAACAACATTCTCCATCAAGAACATGACATGTTCGACAGCATTTGTACGATCACAATACCCTGATACTTCTACTACCTTGATGTAATGGTGGGGGCATTTGGCAGCTTTCTTTATTTTTCTCCCCTCATTAAAAGGCTCCTCCCAGAATCGCAACTGCATCAAGCAAACAATTTATTAGTGGAACAAGAACCACAATTAAGTCTACATGTGACCGATAGAATCACCATTAACCTCATGAAGTCATAAGACCAATGGAAATACAAAAGATTATATACTTATCTCCTAACCTATGATACAAGAAGTAACAAGAATCACTATTAAATTCCAAATATCTTTTCTCCAATATAAGGTTTCACGTCTTTTCCTGATGAAATTTGTGCCTAGATAAATCAAGAAGCTTCTAGAATACTCAAGAGAAGTTTACCAACTAAGCAAAGTCGGCAAGTCCAAACAGCTCTTAGAAACTTCATGATATAACTACTAATGTATAATGAATAATATGTCGGTTAGGTTACTTTTCTCCTCCATTCAAATAAAATTACTTTCAAAAGTTTTCTATTCTATCATGTTTTACGGCCTACTCAACGAATTAAAATTATGCAAAAAAATATACCTTCAACGCAAGTCTCTGCAAGTAAGGAGATGCCTTCATAAAAGACGATAATTGGCTAAGACTCAACTTGTAATCTCCTTCGACCGTTAACTCCAAATGCTTGAGATTTGGTAATATAGGAAAGGTGTAATCCTTATTGTACTCCTGAGAGCCAAAAAAGAAAGTGAGTAACTACATAATCAAACGAAACAAAAAGAAAAGAAAAACAACATATCATCATAAGAAAATAAAGCATAAATACTAACCGCTACTTGAGTATTGATCATGAGAGTCTCTAGCTGATAAAGACAACATGCAAGTTGGGTAAAGGCAAGTCTCATGAAAGCAGTGGAGGCACATAAACGAGCAATGTCATTACGCTGACTAGTAATGGCTACCTCAACCAGAGAGGGTACATTACTGAGACGCAAGTCTATTGCAGTCCCGGTGTGAATAAACGAAACAAGGTTTGTGTCATAAATTTCAACTCTTTTGAGGTCATCACATTCTTCTAGTTTTAAGTACTTCAATGCAATTGATGAACCAACAACTCTTAAGTTAACTAACTTTTCGACAAAAGACACTGATAATCGCTCAAGAAATGGGCATACTGACAAGAAGTGCTCTAGAATTTCTCCAGTCACATCAACAAAGTTAAAAGAAAGAACTTTGAGGGATTTAAGTCCAACACAACGCCTTGAAGCAAACCCTTCCTCGAGACCTAACAGTTTGCGGGGAAACATATATGAATCTTTGTTGATTCCATATTCCTTAACAAAATCCAAGACTAACACTTGAACTCTCTTTTTCAATGCAAATTCAATCCATTTATCGATGGAACTTGTAAAGCGGCGATCTAGATCGAAGCAAGCCCTAAATAGTTTGATGTTAGGGCCAGAATGTTGTTCCACTACACGATTGACCCAATTGACATACCTATGGCTTTTCTTGTTTTGCAATGTTCGACTGTGGTATTTGAAGCCGACCAAAGTTTCCTCGGGATCAAAATCAAGTGTCAAAGTAGACCATGCCCACGCATATCGCCAGTGCCTTGAGAGAACACTAGTAGCCACTGCCTCCTTTAGTGGCAAGAGAGACAATATACTACCAAGAATTTCATGTGGCAACTCACTGATGCGGTCCATCAAATATGGCAGTAAGTTTTTACTCTTGTTAATACTAATCTAAACGAGGTCTAAATCTAATTGACGCCGGCGTTAACACTTATCAGGCTGCCTTTGCAGATCTAAGATATCCAATGCTCCTAGCCCTAGGTTTGTCCGTTCGTTGTTGCACTTGTAAGAGGTTTTTAACCTTTTTTTTTTTTATCCTTTTCTGATTAGAAATAGGATATGATCGTCTTTTTCCTACAAAGACTGGGAACTTGGAATAGAATAGGTAGGAGCTCTGACTAGGAAACTTGGAATACAGTAGGCTGTGGGAATATGGTGGTGCTGTGGCGGTTTGATGACACAATTAATTTTGGGTTTTTGAGTTACACTCTGTATTTTTTCTCTCATTATTATGATATAAAAAATAATTCTATCTAACACATGTGGCAATTTAATTAATTTAAAATTAATGACATGTCATTTTTTTATATCATTCGGACTAAATTTAGTGTGCCTAGCATTATTGTTTTAATTAAGACAACATATATGAGAAGCACGCTGAAGATAAACATAATTATTCATTGTTATTGTTATCTTATTGTACTTTTCAGAATACATATAAATTATAGAAAGGGTTTATTTCCAGAAAAGATTATCAAGCACGGGGGCTGTGTTGGGTCTATATCCAAATTTACTCATCTTTTCCTCTCAACTGTTCCACATTTTATTAATCTCCTGACTCTGGCGGGGAAGTGTCATCATCTACAAAGCTATAAACTTGCTCTCCCACTTCTATGCAACTGCGCCCGGCTTCTTTCTGAAGGCCACTCTCCTTTATCCTTCGCCGCACCCGTCTCACATCATCCCAAACTTACCATTTCTCCAAATAGCTCATGACGAGAATTAGCCAGACAATCGACCAACTTTTCGATAAGATAACGGGAAACATGAACAAGTTTCTAAGATTGGGATAGTACACCATCAAGATCAAGCTTGAAAATACACAAAAGGGGAATGCAAAATTTGATTATTTTTTAAAAGAAAAAAATGACTTGCGACATTCAATATTCATCTTAAATATACGAACGCACCAGGAACTTAAATGTTTATGGTAGGTCTCAAAGCCTAAGAAGTCCATTACGACCACCGCTGCATATCCTTTTCCTCTCAAGGTCCGTAGCAATACATCTCCCCTGGATATCACAAGATAGTGAGTGAGTAAAACAGGGGAAACAAATAGCCATTAACAAGCTGATGCATGCAGAATGGTAACATGCAGAAAGTAGGATTGGTGCATACCACAGCAACTGTTCTTTGTATAGAGTTGCCACCCAAACATTTTTGTTCCCGTGCTAGAGAAGCTACCAAGTCTCTCTCGAGGCCGATGGAATTATCAGCTGCTCCAATTCCTAACCAGTGTTCTACAGCGTTGATTGACAATATAGCAGCGGTATGAACAGTAACATTTCTTGCGCATCTTATACCTCCTGCATCAGTTGAACCTGGAACAGAAATCACATGTTATAATTCCAATAGTTCTTAGAGCATCTTCAAGGGAGATGTCAAATACCAAACATCAAATTTAAATTTGATAGCTGATGTGGCAATTTGACATATTGTAAAACTCTTTATCCAACCAAGATGTCAAATATACATTTTATTTTATTATTTTTAAAAGCAGGTAGGCCCGATATTTAAGAGTAAAATATTAAATAGAGTTAAGAACTATACATGGAAGAGGAGAGAGAAGGTGGGCTCAGCATTAAAATAATAATAAATAATAAAAAGACATCTCAACATCTTAGCGTCAATTTTGACAGCAAAAATGAAGGATGTCAATCCAATTAGGATTTGGCATCACGGTTGGAATTGGAAGGCTTAAAATGTCTTTTTTTGAGTTAAAACTTGCCTGAAATTGGTATTTCGGTTAAAGATACTCTTATCGGCGCATGTGTTAAACATTGCGACCAAAAATCTTCGGAGCCATTTAGGAAAAATAACAGAGCAGATAGAATAGGAGTGCCAACCTGTAATTATTCCTTCGTCAAGTGTGGAATATTCAACGCTTAATATTGGTACTTTGACCAAATACAGGTCAGGATGAAATCCAAAGTTAAAAGCTATGCTGTTGGGAACCTAACAACCATCTAACACATGTGGCAATTTAATTACTTTAAAATTAATGACATGTCATTTTCTATATCATTCAGACCAAATTTGGCATGCCTAACATTATTATTTTTTAAGTTAGTTTATGATATTTACACTAAAACCTTCTAAATTTACACATTTTCTTTCTTTTTCTCTTTCGTTTAATTTTAGTTTTTGTGAATTTTTTTCTCTCAAAAAGAAAAACTTTGTGAATTATTTTTATTTCCTTCATGTATGAGTTGGGTACCTTACTGTTATGTTTTATAAACCTTTATTTTTCTTCTACTTGTTGGAATATAATAAATTATTAATTTGATTCTTTGATAGTGTGTAGATGATAAGATTACTATTCAACCAATTTAAAATATGAAATTCGTATTTCTCAAAGAAAAAAAATCATGACAATTATGATTGTAATAAATGTATATATTATTAATTAATTATAAAATGATATTATGAAATGGGCCATTGTTTGGCAAATGGGTCTTTTGGGCCCTCTCTCTCAAATATTCCATAAATGTGACAATAGAACTTTCATTTTTCCGGTACGTGTAAAAGAATAATACTACTCTTACCACATTCCTATACCACTTTATGTAGCAGTTGAGGTGGACAACCATATCAAAAAAAATTATTTAATATTTTCTTTTCTTTTATGATTTATTAACACTTTTTTTAAATAAATAAAAACTATTAATTAAACTTTCCTCATTAAAATACACATAATTGATTTAATTGATGTGATATGTGATATAAACATATCACATCATGTGGTATAGAAATGTGAGATAAAAATATGGTAAGTGTAGCATTACGCATTGTAAAAATCAAAATATTGATAAATGTAGGACACGTTTTCTCATGAATACATAATATTTGAAGCCAATACAAAGCCGACAGCTATTTGAGAGATTATGGCTAGACTTATTTTGAACAAAAGCCAAACCCAGTAGGCCAAAATTACTACCATCAGTCTCCAATCACACTTGAGCCCTACAACAAAATGTGCCTTTGTTTTTTTGTTAGAAGATACGTATGCGACCAGCTAGGTTTTGCACCTAAGCCTCAAACATCCACGTCAATCACCAAAAAAGCGTATGGACTTTGCTGGCCATTCTATACCAATTATGCATTCATTAGTCAAGATTTACTTCTCATTTTAGCTTAATTATTAACATATATATGGATTTCTATTGATATAGCATACCATATATACCATATATACCATACTGATACGACACTATATATGGGTGAAAGATAGTGTACTATATAAGTGAGAAAGTACTCTGTCTTTCACCCATAGTATAATGCGTGAACCAATTATACTGCATAATCTTATTCTAGTACTATGTAATAATTTCTTATTAGTGAAAAATGGGTTTTCCATATATGGGAAGTAATTTGTCCCGTTTTAGTATCTTGTTGTTTGTACTATGTAACAATTTTAAATCTTGGCTATATGTTTATCATATCCAAAAGCATGTTTGAATTCAAATCTGAACTAATTTTAAAATCTATGAAAATATTTTCTTTTTTCTTAACTCATTTGAGCCTAAAAGTTCCTTTCATGAAAATCTGTCATTTAGTTTAAAAATGCAACAAAGTTTTGGATCACGAACCATAAGTCACATTCAAAAGCAATTTTTTTGGGCAACCACAACCAAAAGGATGAGCATTAACTCATTTATTTGAAAGCTCTTGCGTGCTCCCAAGTAAATATATACCCAGGAATAATGTAATCAACCTTGTGCAGATAACCATCTATCTAGTAGTTCAACCAAATTGGGTTGCTTGCAATACTTGCCTGCGTTGTCTCCAACTCCCAGTTTTACACTCAAAGCTTGATGTATTATATAATTAAATATATGTTCCTCTTGTTCCTTCTCTTTTTATTTTAAAGAAACTACTGTATATATATATATATATATATAAACTACTCTATATCATAAGAAGGGAGAGTTAAACTCGGGTGTAATAAATCCGATACAATGTCTTAACAAATTGGCATAACCAAAAGCTCACAAGTCCGAGAAAAACAAAGCTTGTTGACAATTCATAGATAAGAGGAGATTTGTAGCCATGCATGTAGACGTACTAGGAGAATAGAAAACAAGGAGAGGTTCATTTTCATTTTGTGGTGATAATCCCAGACTTCAATTTTGGTTGCTTAACTTGTGGTTTGTGGTGGCCATGACAAGGGACAAAACCGAAGGCTTGTTTCTAGTGCCAACGAAGGGAAGGACTTTGGTAGCATATATCAATTATTTAGTCTGTAGATTCCAACCCTTTGCTTGTATGCAGATTCCTACCCCCATTGGGATTTCAAAATCATGGGAGAACCGTACAAGTCAGTCAGATATAAACAATGTTTTGTTGTCTCCAAATATATTGTATAATATTTGAATATATTATTAAATTAGTGTGGCCGAAATTACTACAAAACCCAAAGTTAATTCTGTACTTTGAAATCAATGGTATGGTAAATTTGGCATGGAATTGACAATTATAATATTAGGAATGACCTAATTGGTGTGTGTGTCTATTTGACCGAATTGGTCAGCACAAAGAAAGAAATGCGGAATTCAACTTTTAACCGAATCGGTGTGTGTCCATTTCATCACTTATTTTAAAAAGAATTAATTCCATGTGAGAAGATGCTTAAATAGACAATTAGTCCGTGACCAGAGTATCTCAGATTCAGATATATTCTTTCTTTGCTATGTTCATATCACTTGGTTTTAGACTTTAGTTGTCAACTGAGACTTGAGGTTTTACAATCAGATTTGATAATGCTCAAATTTCCAAGTAGGATCTAGAATGCACATTCACTTATTACAAAGACAATAATGTAGCATTATTGTTAAAAATATGTTTATATTCTC